CAGCAAATAAAATCACACAAGATCTAACGTGGAAAACCCTTAATAGGAAAAAACTACGGGATCAAAATCAATCCACTATCACATCCAAATTATAATCTCTTGCATGGACAAAGACTGCCAAACCCTCTCTCTCACAATACCCTTGAATCCGATTACATTCTCTGAAACCCTGATTATAAGAATATTGTCTCTCTCCTTCTCTCTATTCTGAAATCCTAGAATATAACGCCTTATTTAAAGACACCCCTGACTTGCCCGCCAAGTTAACTTGATCTATAAGAAAACTACTAGGATTGTGCCTAGACTTCAAACTCGCATTCGACTTGGAGTTTGAGTTGGTACCCAACATATCCTCCCTCGACGAAAAATCTCCAAGTGTCTCAACGACTTCAGAAAAACTCACTCTCTTCTACTTCTTCTTCACCTCTCCCTTATGGACAAGAGCCTGAGAAGAGTCATCTACACTATTAACAGATCGCACATCTAAATAGCAAATATGATTACTATTCTCCTCCATCGTAAAATTAAATCATCATTTTTATACACTTTACATCACTCTCCTTCCCCCACATACTTGTACCCACGCGATGCCATCTTACCCAACAAAATTAAATTAGCATCATATGACGACACATATCTCATATGATGAAGAATTCTGACCTTTCTAGTGTGAAGCTTGAGGCAAACACTTCCTACACCTTCAACCTTCATCTTCTTGTTGTTTCCAACAATCACGTCGTCAAATTCTTCATCTATCTTCAATGTGTCCAAATAATTTTTGTTGTTGCAAAAGTGCATAGAGACTGCAGAATCTAACACCCAAGTGTTACTCGCATCAGTATCTATACTCTACATTAACAAAACTACATCTTTATCACATACAACCATCGAGGAGTCCGCCTTCTTCCCATTTTCTTGAAGCTTCATCTGTCTAATACTCTTCAAATCATCTCGTATCTGGGAACATCTGAACTGAATGTGACTCTTCTCTCCGCAATAATAGCACTCCTTTTCGCTATCGTCTCGAGCTTGATATTTTGACCTACCTCGATAACTGTCACATCTCCTATTACTCCTCCCTCGATTAGAACCTTCAAAAGCTAGTGCACTCTCACCACCATTAGATGCGCTCTCCTTTTCCATTATTCTTTCATTCTCACGTAGCAATGCTGTCACATCATTGAACTTCAAAGTTTGCTTCCCTACAATTATCGTCTGAACTAATGGCTTGTACGACTTCCGCAAGGAAGACAATAGAAGTAGCGCCTACTCTTCTTCTTTAATCTCCTCATCAATATTTATAAGTTGGCAAACTAGCTGATTAAAGGCATTGATGTGGTCTTAAATTGTAGTACATTCTTCCATCTTTAACGAATAAAGCTCCATCCTCAAACACAATCGGTTGGTCATCAGCTTTGACGCATAAATCCCCTCGAGCCTTTCCTACAGCCCCTTGGTGTGGTCTCTTGCATAACATTGTACTTGATCTCGGGGGCTAGTGCCAAACAAATTGTGCTAACCGCCCTCTTTGTATAGAACTCCATTCTGCATTCTTCAATATATCAGGTTTTTTCTCCTCCAAAGCTTAATCAACACTCTGCTGCACAAGAATATCTTCAACCGTACACTGCCATACTATAAAATTTGTCTTACCGTTGAATAGCGGAATATCAAACTTCGGACCCGAAGAAGTCATCATCCTCCACGTGAAAAGTGTTCCCGTTGCTGCTACAGTATTCCCTGCTATAGTACCTTTTTTTGTTTCCTCCGATGTTTATCATCACGCTTCGACCGCTGACGACTTCACAAATCGCACACCGGTCAAACCTCCACAAACCGTCGAACCTCGCTCTGATACCACTTGTTGTGATTTTTAGATCTCACAAAAACCCTGAAACCACCAAACGCAACAAATAGAATCACACGAGATTTAACGTGGAAAACCCTCAATAGGGACAAACCACGTGATTAAAATCAATCCACTATCATCTCCAAATTACAATATCTTGTACGGACAAAGACTGTCAAACTCTCTCTCTCACAATACCCTTGAACCCAGTTACACTCTTTAAACACCTGATTATAAGAATATTGTCACTCTCCTTCTCTCTACTCTGAACCCCTAGAATATGACGCCTTATTTAAAAACGATTTGCCCGCCAAGTTAACTTAACCTCTAAGAAAACTATTAGGATTGGACCTAGCCTTTAAACCCATATCCGACTTAGAGTTTAAGTTGGTACCAACATAAGTGAGACTCAAATATGTTCTTTCTCTTTTTCGCAATATTTTAAAGACCATGTAAAATGCTTATTTGTAGACCCTCACCAACCAAAAAAGAAGAAGAAGAAGAACACGCACCACTCAGGCACACCCCCCCCCCCAACCACCAGCAAAAAAAAAAGGTCCAATTAGAGAAGTCGTCAAAGTAGCCTTTGAACTTTGATCAAAATTGAATCTCACAAACATTTTATAAAAAAAGTTAAAGGAGAGATATTAAAATAATTAGTGTAACAAACAAACTTACATGCTCACAATGTCAAATTCCCGTGAAGTCGCGCTGGCATAAGTTCCCTTGTGAATCGGAGGCGTAGGCAACTCATAAACAATTGGCAATTTGTTCGCATGCGTCACGTTGCCTGGCTCTTTAGTAAACTGGAAAAAAAAATTAAAGAAAAAAAAAGTTCCAATTGCATGCATCAAACCATCGAACTCTAGGTTCAGTAAAAACTAAAAAGCCTCTTACACTAGTAGAAAAACGATCAACCTAGACGGAAATTTCCGTCTAGGTTGATTCAAATTCCGTATAGATTAGATCAACTAGACGGAATTCCGTCTAGTTTGGGTGGTTTATTTTGCTTCCGTCTAGATTGAAGCAAACTAGACGGAATTCCGTCTAGGTTAATCAATCTAGACGGAAGACAACCTAGACGGAATAAGAATTCCGTCTAGTTTGACATACCAGACGGAATTCCGTCTGGTCTGTCAAACTAGACGGAAATTCCGTCTAGTTTGACAGACCAGACGGAATTCCGTTTGGTATGTTAAACTAGACGGAATTTCCGTCTAGGTTGGTTTTTTACAACCTAGACGGAACTCCGTCTAGGAAGATTCAACCTAGACGGAATTCCGTCTAGATTACCTTTTTTTAGAAAAAAAAATTAATTAAACTTTATATTTTCCTGTACAATTACATTAATATTTGAATATATCCAGAAAATACTGTACACGCCACATTCAACCATCCAATTATAATCAAAATTCATAACAATTCCATTCAAAAACATCTATATAACCAAATCCAACACATTGTACAAATCCAACCATCCACTTCAAAATATACATCAATCAGTTCCGTCTAAAACACATCCAACAATATATATACTAACAATGCACATGACTAAGATAGGATACACAACATGAATAAATGTACTGTTATAACAAATAAAACTGTTTATTGCATTAAAAATAAAAAAACCTCATCCATCGTCGTCGGCGGGGGTATCTCTATCCCGATTACGAGAACGGGTGTTGCTCCCTCCAATATCTCCACTCTGAATGTTTAATTGAATAATCATTATGTGGTGTTTGATAACATATTAGATAAAAATGAATTTATAAATATAAGAAAAAAATAAGGTACCTGAGCACTACTCTGTCTAGCGCCGGAATTATCGCCAATCGAGCTAATGATCCGTATGACACCACCATACGCGCTATAAGGAATAGCACCGCCTAAATATTGTATAACATACCCCATGAGATCGTCCATCGAGTTCGCCGTCAGCACAACTCTGGTCATCTCATTAGTCACCTGAATATGTAGCTCCGGGTCAATTTTGTCAATCAAGAAGGCAGAGATACGTGCGACAAATGGCATAGCCTGGAAACTGCTTGTGGATGCTCTCATCGACTTAGATGGTGTGGAGGATGCTGTGGACGATCTAATGCTTATACCGGGTGAAGCTCCGACACCATGCAGAGGATATCTTCCTCTCCTATTATTAGGGAGAAATAAATATTAAACTTTGCTCTCAAATTCAATAATGGTAAACAAATATAAATAGTATGTAGTATTCAAATTGATTCGATTTTTCACCATCCTTACCTATTATGACCCATCAAGTTCTGTGTGAGATTGATGTTCTCCTCTGCAGAAAGCATGTGAGGGTCTGGCTCGGTTTGTTCCTCCTCCTGCGAAATGTACACAGATGCAGCCTCCTTGGATGCAGTCTCAAATCCCTCCTAAATCACAAATTTATAGTTAATTCAAGATAATGATCATATTATTTGTGTTCTCGTTTCCTCGTAATGTTAACAAAATAGAATTAATAATACTACTCAAGATATGTATAAGTCTCACCACTAACTCGAGATTTGCCGTGATCTTATCCCGATTCCTCTCATCACCCCTATATTGTTCACGAAAAGTACCATATGCCGCTCTGGCCCTCAAGTGTATCGGCATTAATGATTTCCCCTGTCATATTATAAATTATGAGATTTCATAATCATACTAAACATTAAGATCTTTTAAATCTTTAAATAACATATACCGTATCTTGACAATAAACATCCTCCAGATTGGCGTAAGAGTGTGAGCCCAAGTGATGGTCATGCAGCTTCTTTCTTCTATTTTCTGACCCCTTCGTGGATTTATTCTTTAAAAAAAATATGTAAATATGCAATGAAATAATATCTTAAAATTATAAAGTAATTTTTATGAAACTAACCTTGGCGGCATCGCTGTCCTAATACATGAGGAGAGCCGTGAAATGAATCTCGTCAACTCGTTCATCGAGGTTTAAAAACCTCTGCCAGTCCTCCTCATACCTGTCATAGGTTTCATGTTTGATCTCATGCCTCCATTGTTTGAGGACTGCTTTAACCTTGACATTAAACACATAATTCCAAGCCCCCTCAAAGTCCTCAAGGCAGAAGCAGTCCTGTAGATTTACATACACATTTAGTAAGGATAATTTAATATCAATTACTAATTATTAATAAATGAAAATCTAAAACAATATGCACTTACCATAAGCGCAGTCCATATCAATTTACCATCGTCTACTCGATCATCCTTAAAATGAAAATAAGGGTTGATAATGGTCGCTCTACGCACGAGAACCCCAATATATGCATTCAATCGGGTCGACCAAGGACCAACGGGCAAATTAGAACTATTCCACCTAATAATGGCCCTCATTCCTCTTGGCGGTTGTTTAGAATCAGGCTTACCTCCGCCACGCCGTCCCTCTATGCGATCTGACTTAGCACCTACAATAATAACAACATGATAATATATCATATAATATACAAATATGAAAATTAAAAGTATTTATACAATTTACCATTCGCTATCTCTCTTTCTTTTGCTGCGAGTGCATCAGCTTTCCTAGTCTCCAACATAGGAAGCATTTCCTGTAACTTTCTCGCAGCACGTGGGTGGTACTTCCTTGAATCAGCCTTGGACTTATGAGAGTCCGGAGGTAAAGGTAAACTGAGAAAGTCCTGGGTCTTTGGCCGCAAGTCAGTATGGAATGTATATGATGGATATGTCGGGGTCCAAGTAGCACCTACATAAGAAAGAAGAATCATTAATATTAAATTTTAATTGAACATTATCAATTATTAAATATTTAATACCTGCGTCGGGGGATGGTTCTGGTGCTGCGTCGGGGGATGGTTCTGGTGCTGCATCAGAGGGGCCGGGTGATGAATATCCAGCATCTACAACAAATGAACACTATGAGCTAGATAACTAAAAATTTATAAAACATGTTAAAGTATTAATTAATTTTTATACCTGCATCCGGAGATGGTAGTGGATCATCAGCACCACTACCTGGGGTGATACTCCGTGAGCGATCACCCTCCAGGTCAAAGAGCCTCCTCATCCTCCTCCTCATCTGCAAATATAATAAAGACAATCGTTAAGAAAAAATTGTATACATGCTTATGAGATATGTTGTTATGAAATGCATTATTGTTTTTATTATGATAAGATAAAAATCGATAATATGGTGTACCATATATAGTTCATACCTACATCCAGCGCCACATTCTGTGCGTAAGAGAATTCTTGCCAAACATCATCAGATGAACCGATTGGTTCACTATAATTATCTTCACTTTCTTCAATATTTTTTTCATTGTTATTAGGAAGAACAACAGATCTTGGCTCCTTGTACAAAACCACCCAATCATACATGACATTCGGATCTTTCACATAGAAGCACTGATCAGCTTGTTCTGCGAAAATGAATTTCTCATCCGTATATACTTCTCGGTGAAGATTGACTAGTGTAAATCCATAATGATCCTTTTGCTTTTTTGCAGGACACCACCGAACCTTGAACATCGTGTAAGTACATTGTTTTGGTTTACCAAACCCGTAAATTACCTCAACGATATCTTCTAATTGGCCATAATATAATATGTCAGCTAGAATTGGATAGGGGGTTTAGGCGGAGGGAGGGGGAGAGTAAGAGAGAGATAGAGAGATTGGGAAAAGAGGAGAGATTGAGAAAAGAGGAGGGGGGCGGCGGCTGAAGTTAGGTTGCCCTAGGCAACCTAGACGGATTTCCGTCTAGGTTGCTTGTCAACCTAGACGGAAATTCCGTCTAGGTTGAAAATCAACCTAGATGGAAATTCCGTCTAGGTTGACTGTCAACCTAGACGGAATTCCGTCTAGGTTGACAAGCAACCTAGACGGAATTCCGTCTAGGTTGATTTTCCGTCTAGTTTGTCAATCTAGACGGAATTTTCCATCTAGATTGTTTCAAACTAGACGGAACAAACTAGACGGAATTTTTTCCGTCTAGTTTGCCTCAAACTAGACGGAAAAAATTCCGTCTAGTTTGTTCCGACTAGGTTGATCGTTTTTCTACTAGTGTTAGCTAGAACTATACAGATTTTATTTACATTAATGGAACCCAAGTTTTAGGGCCTGAAGAAAGATTATGTACGTAACCTCCGTAGTTTCACGTTTATGAGCTCTTATGCTCCATAGTATATATACGTTGTCAGTTTTAGTAAACTATACTATTTACAAATTACCCAAAGAGTGGTGTTAGGGGCACACCCCCTACCACACCACCAACCACACCCCCCTCTCCCATCGCTACAGTAAACCGGGTCCCACATGGGATTTTAAAAAATTTAAAATCCCATGTGGGGCATGGGAGAGGGGGTGTGGTTGGTGGTGTGTTAGGGGGTGTGCCCCTAACATTATTTTTACCCAAATTTAAGCATAAACCCTGGCAAAGATTGAGAAGAGCATGGCACGATCTCAGTAGCAAGCCATATCTATATACTATTACTAAAAGTTGTTACGCTTCAATTCGCCACTTGGCAAAAATGCCACTTGGCAAAAATGGCTCATACCATTTTAAACAACACTTGGCAAACATATCAATTGCTATCTTCTTGCAAGTGCCACTTGTCAAGTTTCAACAAAAGTTCTCCATATTAAATTTGAAATAAAAAATAAAAAATAAAAAATAAAAAGTTCTCCTTGAGATTTGAACTAACTCTCCCTGCCTTTTCAATTTTCCAAACAAGATGCTTCGTAAACTGTTTGAACGCTTCGTAAACTGTTTGAACTGTTTGTATTCTTTTGCTACATCAATTTTTGTATATTAAACAAATCTGTGCATCGCACGGGCCTGAAACTAGTGCAACCAAATTTCGCGTCAACCCAACTTTAGTTAATGACCTACACAGCTTAATTAATCAACAAACCAAATTCAAAATACCCGAAAAGTCTAAAATGTCCGCTCGAACGAACAAAACCAAATGCACGCATCCACACGCAATCCATGAATTCGACATAAACAACGTTTGACCCAAGAAAATGCCTCATTGACCCAAATTAAATTAAATCTGTGGCTATATTATTTGATAAATTACCGTTGCAGACAAAAAGGCCTGAGCGGCTCCTACGAAGGTGACGATGCTCCAAGTATCATACAAGTATTCGCATTGCGCGTCGGGTGATGCTTCTGTTCTCGCTTTCGTCACAACTGTTAACAAAAATTCTTTTAAATAATCCAACTACAGCTAAAGGAGATAAAAAAAGAGAAAAGTATATACAATTTTTCAACAGTTATGAAAGAGATCGTGGAAAGAGGACACCGGTGCAGGGGCGAGTGAAGAACAGTGGAGTAACTAGAAATTCGATTTTGGGGGCCAAAAATATATAAAAGCCATTATCAAAGAAATATACTATAAACATTACTCCATAAAATCACTAACATGGAGTTTGTATTTGAAATTATCCTTGGGGGGTGGGGGGGAGGTTGAATATGGTATTTGTTAATCCAATCCGATTTCGATACCAAATTAAAACTTACTAACAATATCCTATCAATATGATGTACAATAAGATATATGCAAGAATATAATGAACAAAGGGCGAAATAAACTATGAGACAATGACGATAAACAATGAGCACAAGAAAATACGTCAAGGCAAACACAAACACAAAAGAAATGATCACTGAGTTGAGTCGACCCATCACCTACGTCTCCGCTTCTCACTATCAAGGAGAATCTCAACTATCTCAAATCAACTACACAATTGGTTTTCAACGCTCACCGACAACGTTTATAACTACACAATTGTCAATACACAACACACTCCTCTAAATGTTGGCCTAGCCCGTGTCACCTTCCTCAAGTGCTCGGAATTACTACCTCTTCCTAGGATTTACGACTGACGCCGCTCCTCTTAGAATTGACCTCGTCTCTCACCAATCACTCCTCTCGGTATCCTTGTGTAGTACAATATGATCTCAACAATAAAAGCATAAGTAAAAATGATTTGTTCTCTAAACAATGTTGTGCGCGGCGGAAGCTTCGAGGCAACACGAACAATAACTCGAGATAAATCACAACCACTAAGCAAATCACAATCACACCAAGAACAAACTATTTACGTGGTTCGACAAGTTGCCTACGTCCACAGGACAAGGAGGGGAGAGTTCTTACTATTAGAAATTAAGAGAATACAAATAGAGTTACAAATCTCACCGATCAAACACTAAAACAAAGCTCTAGATTTTTCACAAATCTCTCACAATTGGATGCAGCAATCCTCTCCAAAAGACTGCTCAAAATCGTCCTTGCTTAATCCTAACTAATCAGGATTAGAGTTATATATCAGCTCCAAAACAAACCGGGTTGAAAACCCAAAGCCCAGTCCAAACAGCCTACGGTCGACCGCGACGGTCGACCGCACAGGTATCGCGGTTGACCGTGGCAGTTGACCGAACACTCCCGACAGAGAACAAATCGGCTATAGGAAACTCACGGTCGACTGCGACGATCGACCGAACCAAACGATAGAGCCCGAAAATCCTACAGGGTCCACGCGGTCGACCGTGGCTGTCGACCGCCTTCAGCTCCCAGCTC